CACTGTTACTGCGCATGCGCATCACGCACTGGCCCGGTCGGTCACTTGCGTACCTATCGCACAGAGACTGGGGAACGAGGCCTCGGCATAAAGTCACTGCAGTGTTCTTTTCATCATCCCCGGAAGAGGAAGAAGAAGAGACGATTTCTGGGACCAAGGTGTATTTTGGCTGATGTTTCGAAATCTTGCTCGCTTCCATCGACAGAGCGTGGTGCCTATTCGCGTCAGGTAAATGTGTCCGACCACTTGCCTTGCCTAATGCCCATGTGTCAATCGATTGCGCCGATCGATTAATTTGGCTGTTTCAATTGCCCTTGCCCTCACGGGCGTCTTCATGAGCTGTGTCGCCGCAATGCTCACGCACATTCACCCATTGCATGGATCTATTAGACCACATGCGCTTTCATTAAAACCTGCAGTAAAATGAAGCCGACTGCCGGCACATCAATTTGCCCCTCCTCACCAGCACCTACACTACATGTGGTCACGCCAACATCGCTTCACACACCGTGTGCTCAATTAAAACCTCCCACCGCAAGGTAGGTCATATTATCGTCTCTTTTTGCGTGTAACCCTCAGCTCCACGCGTGTTTATAGCCTGCTTTTAACGATCAGCTTCAGTTTAGCTTTTTTAGAACTAACGTGAGCACCTCCACTGACTGGTAAATTACAGTCGGTTGACTAACTCATGAACTGCAAGGATTTTTACAAGTATGTCCTTGTTACTCAAACGGAGCCCAAGCCGCTGCCCCCAAAGTCTTACAGCGATAAAGTTATGATCGTTCTTCACAATAGGGCATGCTGCGATTTATGGAGGAATATAAAGTTTAATAGAAATACTGGCTTTTATAAAAGAGGAAAATTCCGAAAGAGTGGAAATCGGGCGTACTAGGTAAACTTAAGTTTCACATGTAGAGGAAGCCTGTTCATGCGAAACCACCGAGGGAGTAAAGCAGGTTAAGTAAAATTACGTTGAAAAATAATCATGTTGTAAAATTTTCGGACACATATGCTTCCATATTAAGCGTTGTGTAATGTATAGCTGCTACCAAACAGACCAAAGTATGAGTATGTATTCCAACAAGTTTTCACGAGAATTGCTAGATTTTTCTCTCGTTTTTGTATTACTCGAGTTACGTTCGACTAAGGCAACCACATTTTCGCTTGCGTTGGCCCACTGATAGATCACAGGAGCAAGATATTTTGTAAGTTCATGTGCGGACATGCCAGTCAGTGGCTAATACATTTAAAATGAATTGTCAGGTGAAATTGTAAACGTACCATTTTTTTAAACTAAGAGTAATTTCCTTCCGCCACATTCCTTTATAATTATTTTGAGATTTCGATTACGAAGAGGTTCAGATCTTCCTTGAAATGCTAATTAAGACATTACGATTTCCACTGACTTCAATGGCTTATGTAGCTGTCTGATTGGGTCATGGTTTCAGAACCACCTAAATATGTCAACTCATTGCCGAGAAAAATTAACGTCCACAACAAAAGTTGCCAACGAATAGGCCTACCATTAGTTAATGAATTTTCTATAATAAATTATCTCTTGAAAAAAAAATTATTTATATATTTTTGCGTACCTCCTTTTTTTCGAAGATTAAGTCAAGATCAGAAATGGAAATTTTGACCAGTTTTTTGACTTCCCTAAAAATTAGGGATATATCTTCTGATATAAATGAAAGGGCTAACTTTTCTATTCAAACCGGAACATTTTCCAGTTCTAAGACGACAAAAGCAGAGCAGAGTGGCAGAATATCAACGGCGATTTTAACAAAACTAATACTCTTCTTCCCGTTCCGTTACAAGTTTTCCTGGTAGGGTTTCCAAATGGGGTCTTCAAAAGGTCCTTATGTATTATAGCCTTCTACTTAAATGCTTTAAGTAGGTTGAATTACCCAAAATCTTTCAGTTTTCTACACTCAATCCGTCGGTCCAGCTGGGATTTGATGAAAGCGTTGGACTGCAGAGTGGTCCTCCGAAGGTCACCGCATACCATAACCGCTTAAGTCAGAATACTAAGCGAAATTGGCCTTTTAAATTAACCACGGGAATAACCGCTTCCTTACAAATTTTAAGTAGGCTGATTTCCACAATCTTCCCATTTTCGTACTGCTTTTGCCTTTTTTCTAGTTGGTGTTGGTGGCTCCACTAAAAAATGTACCTCAATGAGCTCGCCCGAGATAAAGGCACACTTCCCTACATACATGCGTTCGCCGTTAGCGATGATATTAAAGCCCATATCAGTGTCTTTTTCCAAGGTTTGAGTACGGGACCCATTTCGTCCTCGTAAATTTTTTTTATTTCACAGAAATATTGCGATCTAATTTGTTTCCTGACATGCCCTGCCCATCCTCTCCCCTAAAATCAGGTTCCCGTTAGCCTGAGGGGCGCGCTTCAAACGAACCCCAGGCGGCCCCACAAGGAATCCTTACCGTTTTTCTATTCTTTAATTCTGCTCTATAGATATAAAATGTTCGGACATATTTTGCGTACTGCTTGAAGATAAAATTGATGACATGTCTTGGGTGTCTGTATATATGCTTTTTTATGGTCGTTCTTTAAGTTGGGATACAGCAAATAGCAGCCTTATAAGTTTATTACTCAAGTTGATGGCGCAGAAATTGACAACTGTACAAAATGGCATTTTTAACCTTATTTTGCTCTTCTTTTCTTAAAAAAAATGCGATATATCATAATTGCATTAATCTCAATTTCATGAGGGCAAAAAAATAGTATTTTCTCTGAACATGTATAATTAAAAATTTCCACTTTTTATTATTTTTTGGCAAAAAGTAGCTTATATATTCCCACTCATATACCCCCAGTACCAGCATTTTGTCCTACAAAAACTGCGGTTGTAGGGATTGGGGGTGGAGAAATAGGATAGGCAGAGAAGGAAATTTTTAGAATTATGTGTTAAGTGAAAAAAATTAGTCGAAGCTGTTTACCGCGGCCGCTGGAAGTAAGTTTTTCCGCATGAAATTTCAAGGTGTGCGCGGCGTTTCGCGCCGCGGGCTTTACTAATCTAACTCCAGAACGGTAAGTTGGATATCAGATAAGTTGAAGTAGACGACCTCCTAACAACCATTTCTATTTTTCAGGAATTTCAAGAAGCCTGCAATTTTATAATCCGGTTTTTCCGCAATACGTTAAACAATAATACAGATTAGGAAAACGTACAGATATAAATCAAAAATACTTCCAAATACAATCAAATAAACAAATTCATTTGGCAGTTATTAAACTATCATTCACTACGTATCCTAATTTCCCGGCCACAAAACCCTATAAATTCCGTTTTCGTAGCACAACATGCCGGAAGTAGGGATTAATGAGTGGGACTACATGAGCTACTTTTGCCAATTTTCTTTTGTAGAACAACACGAAAAAACAAGAAGTTATTTTCCGCTGCGTTAAATAGCAAAGGAAATTTCTTAGATATCAACGCACTTTGGATTTGGACCCACTGGG